GGATATTACAAACTTCAATTTGGATCAAAAGAACAAATCCTCTTCTCAACTCTTATGTCGTAAAAATGACTATATCAAAATTTTGTTTTCTATCGTATCAATATTAAACCTTGCTTATCGTTCAAATACATTAATAATGAAAATACAATACAGTAATATGGATAAAAACAGAATGATAATTCTATGCTAGCAAATGTACATGAAAAAAAAAACATGAAAAATAAACAAATATTTTTTCGATGTTTTAACAAAAACTCTGTCCGTATTCGTTCATTATCTTCTACATATTTTCCATTTTATAAGAATAAAGATGAATAAAACTTGCGTCATTAAATATTACGTCGACGAGAAGCGTGCGGAATATAACGGTTCGTTGATTCCCCAAGGTACAGGCTAGTAGAGGGAAGGGGTGAGGATGGGATAGGATGCAATGGGGGGGGGGGGGGGAGTTAAAGGGAATTCAGGAAGGTGCAATGAAATGGAAAAGCCCATCTATCATTTTCTACGAAGAAAATTGATGGATACGCAAGAGTTTACGATGCATACTAGTAATCGAGATTGTTATTAAATAACGATACGGTCATGCGTAAACGTAAAGACGTACTTAGGTACCACTTACATAGACTTTTAAATATATTTTCATATAACACGATTGGAAAAATATGAAGAAACTTATTTCAAAGATATTTTATGTTTTAATTGATTAATTATCGTTTTTATTAACATTATTCTCGAGAACGATAAAACGCCTGAGCAGTCATGATCAATGAGGAAAAAGAACGCTTAAATATATATATATATATTGAAGTAAAAATTGCGTATCAAGACTTTTCAAGATATTCCATTCTTAAGTTTCCTTATTTTATGCAAATTGTATATTATGATTATAAAATATCATCTACGATTTAAGTATTTATTAATAATACAATTCTATAAATTATAGAACGATTCGATATTATCAAATTGTAATTTATGATATGTAATGTATAAATGTGAAGAGTTTTGAGAAAAGAGAAACTAAATGAATTTTAGGAACTGTTAATAGTACTTCATTTTCGAAACGCAAAAAGTAGAAATATTAGACGCGAAAGACGTTCTGAGTTTTCGAGCTAACGAAAATTGTCGAAAGCTCAAAAGCTCGAAAACATTGTGCCAAGAGTAGAGGGTAACTAAATGATGTGGAAAATGAGTTGCGGAGAATTTCGAGAGAATTTACGAAGCAGGACAATCGAGACGAGTGGAATTTTCATCTCTCTCTCTCTCTCTCTCTCTCTCTCTCTCTCTCTCTTTCTCTCTTTCTCTTCTATTTTCTTTATCATCTTTGATCTAAATCATCTAAGATCTGATGAAAATTTAAAAGAGTTACTTGTCTTTTCATCCGCGTGAACTGTCGAGTGTCGATTTAATCCTATTTGTGTTTATAGGATTTAAAACATCCCAGAGTAATTTAGAGCTCAATTAAAACAATTTGTCCATTGCATGATTTATAAATTTTTTTTGTACAATAACAGAATTGGAAACGCGTTTTCAAACCTATTAATTATTATTTCAGAGGCTTCAAAGAATATACAGTATTTTTTTTTTTTAAGTTAAAATTATTCATTCTGTAATGAAAACTGTTCAAAGTGCCTGAGGTATAGCTCATCCCAAGTGCATAACTTGAAATTATTTTGAAGTGTGCACAACTAAAGTTAAACATAGATACAGATACATACATACATACATACATACATACAGACATACATACATACATACATATATATATATATATATATATATATATATATATATATATATATAAAAATTAACCATTGCAAGGAGCTTTTCTGCAAACTATTCCGAAAGCTTCAAAGTTATTTTATTATTATTGGCATTCATTTTTTTTAATTATGTATTTCAGATACATGGTTCTTTATAAAAAAAACTAATGTGTATATATATGTACATATATACATGTATGTATGTATATATATATATAAATTTTACTTGTTTTTTTTAAATAAACTATTGACTAATTTAATCTTCTTATTCATCAATCTATTATTCAATTCACGAACAACAACATAGAGCGATTACGCATTAGAATATTCATGATTCCTTGCATCAATGTTATTACAAAATAATGGACAACGATGCCAATTATACTTTAGTTATCCTATTATCTTTTGAATAATATGATTATTAAATAATAATACATAACACACATATATACACACATACAAATACATATGTTAGAAAGATTATATCTCACGTGTTCACAATCGTTTCCTTTGAAATATGAAACGATAAAAAGATGTAATTTAAGTTATCATTTATATCTATACAATAAAAAATTGAATATCGAAAATATTCGAAATCGAAAGAAAAAATAAAGTATAAGAAATTATACTAAATAAGTATATTAAATAAATATAACATCTATAGATCGATATAAATCGAAGAAATTTATTGCGATTTAGGCGATAATCAAAAAAGATTCTAAAGGGAAGATCTCGCGTTCCTCGTTACGTAGAAGTACAGCCAAAAGGCATCACTATTTTATAGACCTGCCTATTCAAAGATTAGAATGCGATCGCTTCCGATTGGTCGCATTGCCAGCCGGCATGGTAGGTAGCTACTTTCAAACGATCCGTACCACGTGCCAAATTGCAAATCGATATCTCAATTTGCCTCGGTGTCAGACGCAGGTAGACAAATATCCGCGGCACGATCCTTTTACCCCTTAGGATACTCACCCTTATTCTCCCTCATACCATCATTTTGGATCCCGATTTCTTCTTCCCCCACTTCTATACGTACACCGATAAACTTGCCTATCATTTAACGTCACTGATGTTACATCACTAAATATAACATATTTTCGTTTTTATCTCTTATTCTGAGCATTCATCTAAACGCGAGCATATATACGTATGTGTATCTGTATGTGTATATATGTATATGTGTGTGTATGTGTCTATGTGTTGTGTGTGGAACGTCTAATGCACATCAAATACGATACCTACGAATTTGACTCGATATTTCTCGGTTAGAAATATTCACAACTTCAAAAAATATTTTAACAGAAATGATCACTTATTTCTTAGTTTATTTCCTTGAAGAGAATTTTTAACTTTCTTAAGAGAATTTATCGAAAAAGAAAAAAAAAAAATATATATATATATATATATATATATATATACTGTAAATTGTTGAGTAAACAATGTTTCTTAATATACCCCGATGAAGTTCGTCATTTATAGGAATCTGTTATTGTTGCTATGAAACATGCATTAGCATTCATCCATCAATGCGCAAGATGGCATTTCTAATGACAAGGTAATGGAGGACAAACACATTTGCGACAATGTTATTGTAATATGGCCTTGTACGACTATAATGTTCTAAAAATAAGATTTCTCAGAATGAAAATGTTTTCTTCTGAATATCAAGCATACCCCGAGGCTTTTATGGAAATATTGTTAAATAATGATTTATTCTTCTTTATAATATAAAAAGCAGAAAAGAAGAAAAAGGAAAAAGAAAAAGAAAAAAAAAACATATTCTCTTATGGCCTTCCAATATTCTGATCGATTTGACTTAACAGGTATACTTTCGCCTATATAGGTAGTAAATATATCATATCATGTTCCAACATATGCACATACGTATCGCATTCTCCATACAAAGTTGTTTAATGTTACATACTCGACATCAGCTTGATGAAAGTTCATGTCAGTTACGATATACCGGATACTATTTCTGAATGGGACGAAGCATTCGATCGACGTACATACTATCGACAGACTATTCATCCTTCCGCAAGGTATGAAGACCATACGATATCCGTGTTAATTTTCGAATATGCTTGTCCATTTCATTCAATGATTCACTACATCCTGTGACAAGATTAATTCGATATATCCTATGCATATATGCATTATATATATATAGTATAATACATATATATATATATATATATTATTATTATTATTATTATTAGTAAAAAATACACACGTAACTCTTGTATTGATTTTGAAAATTTCTTTAGTTAAAATAACTGAATGGCCCTGGACGCAACCCATCTTCATTTTACTCTTTCATAACTTATGGTAGATCTTTGATATATTCAAGATTTAATCGCAAAAACCCAACGAGGATAATCGATTAGATGGGAATAACAGATAAAAATTACCTTCCTGGCCGAGGAAAAACGAACCGAGATTCAAACTGATTATCCTTTCATACGAATACTTTAATTCCATAGCGCACCGGCGACCAGTTTTCAAAAGATACGAAAACGCTTGTTACCTAGTCTCGAGAGAATTGTATTTTCATAAAGAAGAGAATTTTGTACCTCTTGAAATAATACGAAAATGTTTAGTCAGAATTCAAACCAAATTTTACTCTCTGATTAGATTATGTTTATATCAACGTTAGTTAAGCTTTTCAACGTTTCGTATTTATCTTACTTATTGTATTCTTTTTTCGAAAAATTATACGAGTCGGTATATGCTTTTTTGATAAAATAAGACTTGTTTGATTTTACTCATTAATAATACTTCGAATGATAACGTATTTTCAAGTAGAAAAATATGCAAATATTTCTTAAAATTGAATAACTTTTCATAATAGATTAATGAATTTTCGTAAAAAATTAAAGAATTTTGAAATTTCAAGTAGATATTAATTTGTCGATTTCTATTATATTTACAAGACGCAAATAAGATAATCAAATTTAACAAAACTTGTACATTATTTTTCTTTTTTTACAAAAACACTTGTGACAAAAAATTCCTTTAATTTCGTTAAAATTTTGGAATACTTGGTTTAAAAGAAAAAAAAAAAAACAAACAAACAAAATCGATTTCTAACTTTTGCAATTAAAACGATCATGAAGAAAAAAAAAACAGACGAACAGTTTCAGATTAATCGAATAAAATGCGATCGATGTGAAAATATACAATATTAATAATATTTTCTTAAATTAAAAATGATATTTAAGATAATAGCTAACTCAC